TTTGAGAATGATAAGGGTAACGAATGTTCAAATGTGCTTTATACAATTGGTGTATGTATGGATTGTGATAAGTTGTATGAGTCCCCAATAAAATGGTTTTAAAAAATTCATAAGGAATGAGAGCACAGGAAAAAAAAAAGAAGCTAAGCCAGGAGGTTGGGGGTCACCCAGGCAGTACATGGTGGGGTGAGAGTCAGCATTCTGGAGTCAGACCGCTGTAGGGGTTGAGTACCAGGTCTCCCATGGCCCAGTTAGGGAAGGAGCGGGCTACTGTCTCTTGCTACAGCTTTGTTTCTTCATCAGAAAAACAGGTGTAATATGTCCCTTCATACAGGTGTTAAGAATTCATTAATACTTCTATGTAGAATTCTTATCAAGGGTCTACTGTATTCAGTCAGTAAAGATTTCTATAAAAGAAGAGCTATCCTTAGTACTGCAGAAAGCTTCAGTATTACAATGCAGAAGAGCGAGGTGCAGAAAAGCCCTGGAGATCACCCTCTCATTGGGGTTAGAGCCTCTGCAGTACACTAACTATTTGCATCTCACTGCACATTTTCTACATTGTTCTAGAGCTTTCTACATCAGAAACAATAGCAGGAGTGTTGACTGAGCCCTTCTGAGCCTGGTGTATGTGGCCCTCCTCTACTAAGTACTTTGGAGACCTTGCTCCTTTGCCCCAGGAGCAACTCCATGGGTGGCCATCAGCCCTCTGCTGGGTAAATGAGGAAGCAGAGGCTGCAAGAGGCACACCAGCCCGCCAACGCACTGCTGGAGACCACCCAGACTCCGTGACAGCAAGGGCTAATGGCACACAACGCTCAAATACTAGACAATTCCAAGGATACTTGAAAACAGGACCACTTTCTATGAACTAGGACCCATAGACAAGGCGGCAGGAACATGTCTGAGGACAAGAAGAGGCCCACACTACTGTGGAGGGAAGTAACTGCTCACAGCAAGCTGCTCAGGAGGGTGGAGACCAGACCAGACCAGACCAAACCAAATGTGCCTCTTTGGGCGCTTACTAGAAAATGAGAAGCTACAACTATTGAGTAGATCAATGAAACTAGCTTGAAATTTTTTCAATTATTTCGGTTTCAATACATGCACCAGGAACTACAGACAGTGTG